AGTAAGGATGCTTTGGAATAAAATATTATTTTTATTAATGACCCTGTACAATATTTATAAAATTTGCATCCACATTAATATAAAAAAGAACATGTATCATGACTTGAAATGAATAATAATCTAATGGGATAAGATAAAAATGGAAAAATAAAAAATATAATAATTAGTGTTATGATATTCTTTGATAGGCCACCTTAATATAGAGCATATGAACTTAAAATTCCATGTAATTTATAGAAAAATATCCATCAATGATGGGTGTCAATTTGGTTTCTCATACAAAATTTGAGTCAAATTGGGTGTGCGAGACAAATTTAAGTCTAAAAATTCAACACATTTCAATTAGATTGACTTGAACTCAACCTATTTAACTCGTCTAACATATGCATGATGGCTATTCAGGTTAATTTTTTTGCCAACTTAAGGGTGAATTTTATGTTGACAACTCAATTTTAAGTCAGATTACTGTTGACTTTTCAAGTTTATGTTAATGGGTCAACACGAACCCAATAAAAAAAATTAAAATAGGTTGGAATTCTTGACCCAAATCAAACTTAAAAATTAATTAGAAAAATCTAAACTTACATTTTGGGTCAAGTAAGGAGAGTCCAACAACAAAGTCACCGTTCAAAAACTTTATGCCCCCTCTAACACAGCATAGAGAGAGATAGAGAGAAAGAGAGCAGCTTAACAAGCTCAAGAATGAGATAGAAGCAGAAATGAAGTGAAAATAATAACAATAAAAATTTTAATTTTACTAAATTTAAATTTAAATATTTTAAAATTAAAATAATTAAAATCAATGTATTTTTGTTACAATAAAATCAAGATATAGAAATTCAAATAGAATTATTTAGTACAAAAAAATTACTTCACCCACCACCTATACAATCTCAATATGTAGTTATTGTACACAATGAAGATTGCAACATAAGACATTAAATTTTATAAAAATTTCAAAATACATATTCTTAATATACTCTCATTTTTAACATCTAGTAACCTCAACTTTTTTATTTTTGAAGGAGGGGCTACCTTGACTCTTATTTAAAAACTGTGGGGATTATATTAAACATTTTACATAATGTAATATTTAAATAACCACACCACAATTTAAACATTTTCTATTCTTCATGAGTAATTTCCTAGCAAGGAGAGTTGCTTCCTTATCTGTAATAATTGAAAAAAGAAAAGAAAATAAAATGAAATTGGGTATGAGTTGGTTCAAATCAATTATCACCTCAACAATTTATTCTCAGGTATCGCTCATTCGAATGAAAGGGAAGAAATTAAGGGTGAGAACAACATAATAGAATGCAAGCAAAAGACAGAAAAGAAGTTATTGTGCAAAGAAGAGGAATGAGTAAACAAAAGAAAGGGCTGTCAAATCCTAGCTGAAGGAGATAAATCGTTTCTCGCATGCACATCCCTAACAAAAGCCCTATGTCCTCGCGAAAGAAAGGAGCATCTGCATGCAATTTAACTGAAGGAGAAAAAAGGGTTGAGCATGTCCTGTGCTAAGAGGAGTGTCTTACAGGTAATAAGTTGAACCGTGGGAAGAACATAAAAAATTATTCCATACGGACACCGCATGCATCTTTGCATGCGGTGTCCGATCTCCACCGTTGATCACTGCAATCAAAATTTTTTTAAAAAAAAATAAATTGAAAGTGAAGTTCACTGAAATGCATCTTTGTGATGACCGACGGTGGAGATGGTACGCCGCATGCATCTCTACATGCGTTGTCCGTATGAAATAATTTTTCGAAGAACAGACCGCATGTGGAAAACCAAGCTGAGCGGTCAAATAAGATAAATTTAATTTTTCAATGACTCCATTTCAATTGGATTATAAATTATTAGTTATAAAAAAATTTAATTTTCACCATCAATCGTTTGTTCTTGTCTTGATTAATTTTAAATCTCTGACTAAATCGTAACAAATTTGATATAGACGTAATGTGAATATTATATTGATTCAAAATTGTAACATAAAATTTAAGAAATTTATAATAAATAATAACAATGATAAATAAAATAAAGATATGCAAATTTTGAAGAAAAAAATTTAGGAGATTTTAATAGCTGATAAATAAAATAAAATAAATGAAATCATGATATCTGTGTTGGTTTGAATCAATCTTCACCTCAACAATTTTTTTCTTAAGTATAGCTCATTTGAAACTAAGGGAAGAAATAACAAGGAATAACGACAAAACAAAAAATGAGCAAAAGACAGAGATAGAGAAGAACTTACCGCGTGAAGAAGAAAAGGAAGAAGGAAGCAGATGAAATGTCTCTCAACCCCTAACCAAAGAAGGAAAGAAATCACATCCGACATTCACATCAAACTGAAGCCCTACGTGCATTGTTGTTGTGTGAGTAGGGAAAACGTTTCACATGAAGAGGAATAAGGCGGCTCTCTAAAACTAAAGAAACCTATCGAGCAAAGGGAGGAAGAAACCTATCGTGCAGCTCTACTTGTGGGAGAAGGTAGTGTACATTGGCGATCGAACCAAACCGAAGGAAAAAAAGGACTTCAAACATGTCCTATGCTTAGGCAAAGGTGTCTCATGCGCGGATGATAAGTCCAATAATGTGAAGTAAAAAGTGTAGACCAGCTACATGTGGAAGTTATAAATTGAGCAATGAAATAAGATAAATTTAATTTTATTAATTTAATATACTTTCTTTAGTGACTACTTCATTTCAATTGGATTAAAAATTATGCGTTCACCTTCCATTCCCATCTTATGCAATAACACATAATCATGGTGACTACACTTGCAGTAGTGCGCAATCAATTTAACAAATAAGGATTTATAAACACAACACTCAATTTTTATATATTTAAATATCTAATACCTTAACTTCAATATATATATATATATATATGCATATTTTGCACAAAAAGCCTTATCAATGAACTAGAGAGATTATTACTCTATGTGGTTAAGATTATTGCTATAATTTTGATGAATATAAATACTTTGGTCTTTGCTATGAAGTATCCGTAAGTTTAGTAAAATAGTGAGCTAAGTCACTTGAGAAGAAATTAAATTTAAAGTTAAGTATCAAGTACAATGAAGTAATTTTACGACTTGAGTGAAGTTGTTAAGCCTAAAAGATCAAGTGCAACAAAAATTCCATAACAAGGTTAAGGTCTAAGAAAATTTATTTTATGATTGAGTACTAAAGTTATTGTATAAAGTGTTAAGAATGTTTGGATGAATAGCACATAGTCACTTATCAAATTAAACTTTTATTAACTAAGGAAAAATTAGTATGTAAAATTCTATAATTAATTAGAACATTTGATTTTGAATCATATAGCACAACATATTTCAATCTGTATTTTAATTACCCATGTTAGCAAAGTAATCCTAGTTTAATGAAAAATTCTATAAATTATATTATACAAAATGAATTGAATAAACTAATATGTTAAATTCTACAACTAAAGCAAATTATTTAACTAAGCATTACTTTAATTTTTGTGTGTGTGTGTGATAAGCCATATTCAACATAATCAAATTTATTGGTGAATTATATCATATATAGTTCAATTGTTAATCAATCTACATTACAAGTATTCAGTGACTTTATTTCCTATTAAATAGAGAGATTTTATTTAAGTTAAAAGGACTGACCATTACAACCACCTAAATTGATTCTTCTATAATATGAGCAACTTTATTTTTACAAATACATCTAAAATATGATGGAGTTTCTGAGTTTATTCATAAATTACAATTGATCAAAACATTTTTTCTTTGATTTTTTATCAACTTAGACTTTTGACATTTAAAGAGCTAGTCCCTACATTTAAATACTCAATAAATGGGTGTACCCAGCTTGGCTCTACTGGAAGGGACATCTAAATGATTTCTACTTCATCAATAGTGGGATAAGCATGCTCTAATGTTGGTCGTCTCTTTGAATTTCTAGCTTTAAAGAGCAGGCAAGCCACTTAGTTTTTCTTGCAATTTCATTTTTTACTCTGTACACATGCAAATTGATAATTAATTAAGCGTTTAATTATGCTTGTAAATGTTTGGCATTTTACCCAATATTAAATCTTAAGTTGATAATTAATGCTTCATACTAAACTTGATTTTTAGTAATTGAAAATTAATTTTGATCAAAGTAGCGTTGATTGGGATTTTGAGAACTATGCAAACTCCTAGTCATTTGCTTGAAGATCCTTTAACATATAATGTCCATAATAATTTATCCTTGGTGGTGACTTTTTCTGTACTCCCAAATATGAATTTGGTAATAAAGTTTTCCAGTGATTGGGCTTTGATTATAATTTTGGGCTTGTAAAAGACTTGAAATTCATTGAGCTCCACTGACTATTTAGGCAGTCAACTTGAATGATCTAGCTTGGCTAGGACTAACTTTAGAGAGTGGTTAACAATAAATTGTATAAAAATTGGCTTATAAATATGTTTATAACTACCAAGCTATGACTATGAAGGGGAATATAAGTTTCTCTATGATTACATAACAAAGTTTAGCTCAATGAAGTATCTTACTTACATAATAGAAATGTCATTGCTTGTTTCCATTATGCCAACTAAGAATATAGCTAACAACTTCTTCTCTAATGTCTAAATATAATAATATTTTTTTTCTTATAATTGGTGACTCGGTAATAAAGGAGGCAAGGTTAAGCAAATTTAGGCTTCGAAAGATATTTTTTCATATTCTTTACTCCACTTGAAATTTTTTCATTCTTAAAATCTTGATGAAATGCAAACATTTCTTTCGAAGTGTGGAGATAAACTAGCTTAGTCTGATTATTTGCCTAGTGTGTTTTTCTAATTATTTTACATTTTTAGGTAACATGATCTTCTGAATAGCTCTGATGATGTCTAGCTCATTTTCACATCTTATAGTGTTAGCAAGAAACCCAAAAAAATGTACTTTACCTAGCTCCAATTATTCACTTTATTGGGTTTGACCTCATGTGAAAATTTCAGCGGGAAATAAAAAAAAAAAAAAAAAAAAAAAATCATATAAAAGTACCTACAGGACTACATGTTAAGATCTGCATCAATACATCTTCTATATTTGGCAGTCAATTCCCTGCAAAAAAAACCAACATCAACGGTTTAGCAAATAATATAATTTTGCAAACTGTATGGCAAATAATACATACAATTTTTGATCGAGAAGCTGCACAGCCTCCTCAAATTTACGTTTCAGTCCTTCAACTGTCTGTCCACAAAAAAGATGGGAGTACATAATGTATTTATAAATTTAATACTAAAACTTTAATGGTTATTTATATAACAGTTTCAAGTCACAATTATAACAAAATAAATACATAATAAGGCGCCGTCCATTTTAGAAATGTTAATATCACCGATATCTATGATGTGACAATAAAAATGTGTACTATGTAAATTAAGAGACTGTCTAAATGATCTACCAATTCTTTGCAGACAGCTTTTAGTCCAGGAGCCTATAAAAATATCAAATTAATCTCCAGGCTATTTTAAAATAGGCCTATTTTAAAGCAAGCTAAAACAATCCCACCATCTGAATGTTTAGAATAAATGTTGCCTAATATTAAAAAAGTTAAGAAGCTAATTTGGTACTTTCAAAGATGGCACCATCACAGATAGATAAGGACTGAGAAGAATGTCAAAATAGTCCATCAACTCTTTGTAGAGAGGCACTTTATTCTCACAGTCTATAAAAATATCAAATTAATTCAAAAACATATTAAAATGGGCTCAAAACTACCCCGTCATCCACATGTTTAGATGTTATTTCATCATATATTAAAAGAGTTATGTTAATTTGATACTTTTATAAATAGCATCACCACAAATAGATAGGGAAACATTTTAATCATTCATTCAGCAAGCATATATCTATATCTATATCTATATATATATATATATATATATATATATATATATAGATACATACATACATACATACATACAATTACTTTTCTCAAATTTCTCCCTGTGCAAGAATGAAATACAACCTTTTGTACTTACCATAGTTTTTGTGGTAAAAGAAGCTGAGATGGCGTTCAGCAATTGTTGACACTTCTCAAAATTGTTGTTCAATTCATTGTCCTTGGGAAAAAAATCAAATGCAACCAAGTTAGAAACCGACTTAGAAAAATCATAATCAGAAAAGAAGAATGGAAATAAAATATTCTTATCTCAGAAAGATACAAAAGATGAATAAAGTCATTTAAACCAAGTAGCTAAAAGGGAAAAAAAAATAACCAAACAAATCAATTATCTAATAAGGTTGCTGCAAAACTTGTTTTAGCGCTTGGGTTAGCATAATAACTACAACTTTAAAAATTTGATTGGACCAGTCGATTCGACCGTGAACCGGTTATTTAACCAATTCAATTCAAGCTTAAAACCGTTTTTGCACATAACTAGGATCGATCTGGTCAGATCTAGGGTTGAATTGGCAAATCGTCCGATTTTTTAAGAACCAATCAATTCTAATATTGTCTAATTTTAGTCTTTTGATTTTGATTTGATGAATAAAAATAAGATATTTAAAATTAAAATGGAGAAAATACCATGTCCCAAAATTTTGATTGAAATATTACTCAATCCAAAAGTAAACTGTCTTATATTAAAATATTGTTTATTGAATCAATAAAAATAATATTATTATATATAAATAGATTACTTAAATTATATTAAAATAATGTTAATATTTATCATGTCATCCAATTCAACATTCAGTTCAACCACAGTTGAACAATTGAACCTTGAACCTCTTCTCTTAGTTCGTTAACCAATGGAATTTTTGCAATCTTCTTAATAATAATAATTCCCCTATGCACGTGCATTGTAGATACAAATGTGTATGCATGTGTTTGTGCGTGCGTGCGGGTGCGCGTGCGCGAGTGTGTGAGTGAGAGAGAGAGAGAGAGAGAGAGAGAGAGAGAGAGAGAGAGAGAGAGAGAGAGAGAGAGAGAGAGAGAGAGAGAGAGAGAGAGAGAGAGAGAGAGAGAGAGAGAGAGAGAGAGAGAGAGTACCAAAGCTTCTGAGTACTGATCTGTAGTTCCACTTTCAACTGCTTCAGCCATGCTTTCAGCCAACTAAAAATGTATATATGAACTACATTAGAAAATCTTGAATAGAAGTATAAAGATAAATATTAAGAGCTTATTTGGGATCAATCTTATTTTTTGTTTTTATTTTGTTTTTTCTTTTGTTTTTAAAAATATATTTATTTAGCGTGTTTTTTATATGATTTTATTTTTTATTTATAAAAACAAATTAACATGTTTTTGAGAACACTCAAAATAATTTTTGTGTTTTTCAATGTTTATAAAGCAACTATGCTTTAATAAAAAAACCAAACATGTGTTGTTTCAAATCAAAACATAAACAAAACAAAATAAAAAAATAAAAGGGATCCCAAATATCTAACACTTAAACTTCAATTTTTACATATATATGTCACCTTACCTATTACATGAAAAGGTGTATTTCAGATTTTACAAAGTCAAAATAGAGATATTTTTCACGTGATGTGAAAGATTTTGATGGTATAAATGTAAAAGTCTAGATGCTAGATATGTGAATATATAAGAATTTAGTGGCATGTACGTAAATGCACTGTTTTAAAATAAAAAGACAAAAATAAAAATGATCCCAAGCAGCACCAAAGCTGCAAACTATCCTTATCAGAGGATGACTTAAAAAGATAAATAATAACTAAAGAGCCAAAACTGTCACCTTATGCAGCAAACAATAATTATTTCCTAAAACTATTTAGAAACATGCATAACAAAACCATAAACTCCTATAATATTTTTGATAAATTTGTAACTGCAATTTCAAAAACATATTAATCTGAACTTATTAGTCTGAAACAATTAGTCTGAACCAAGCAGAGCTTATGAACTTGGTGAGATGCTAAAAGTTAAGCCTTAATATGGACTATAACAGATTTCTTATAATATTTCGAATTACCAGTGAAATTAAAGGTTTAACAAAAAAGTGTAGCAAGTATAAATAAATTATTATGGTACATGCAGTTAAATTTATTTTTTGTTAGTAGACTTACTTATACTACTATAATCATCAGGGGAATGATAACTTTATCAAGAATATTCTACAATTTAATATAACACAATTACTTCATATTTTTTAAGAAATAAAATAGTCATTTTTATATAATGTTTTCATACACATGTTTAAATGAGATTATAATATAGTTAAATGTATAATAACTAAAAATCTACTAATGTTATTTACTAAAGCATCTTAGATACTTAGATTGTTTCAATTTCTTAATGAGCTAATTATACAAATAAATTTCTTGGTTTGTTCTCCCAGAAAAAAGAAGGGGCATTTACACAACATACCGCCAAATTTTTATGCATTTACATATCTAACACCTAAACATTCATATTTACATGCATATCAATCAAATTTTTAACACCACATCAAAAATATCACCATCACTAATTACTAACCATATTTTTAAAATTGAATACACCTTTTCATGCATGGCTAATGACTCTGAGAAGTTAC